AAATTCTTCTGGTTGATCCAAAGGGTGTTAGCATCCTTTCTTTTTTGAAGTTTACTTTCTTTTTTGAAATATTTATTTATAGAAATTTGCCTCTCATTCAACTTCTACTGCAGACTATGTAATTATAAATTCTTTGCCCTTTCTCAATCAATGTCAAAGCTATAATATATACAAGATTTTAAAATCTTTATTGTCTATCCAAATAATCAATTAATTTATGGACTTATATTTTGGATGCTAACTGAAGCTAATCGCTATAATATTTTAATTGGGTGCTAAAATTCATTTTTCTGACTATGATATATTTAGATGTTGAACAATTATATTCCAATGTGTCTTCCCTCTTTGCTAAATTTGCTTTTTCCTTAATACATTTGTATTGCAGTCTTGCCTCACATTAATATGTGTGCTACAAGAATATTATACACATTTTTAGCAACTAGAGATTCTGCATGAAATATTTTTATGACTCTCAATATGGCAAATTTAGGCATTAAAGTAAATCTCTCTGTCACAATGAATGTTTAATCTGGATTTTTATAATGCTAATAAACATACGTTAGACTGTATTTATTTAAATAAAAGTCAGTTTCCCCAGGGGTTCACAGCCATTGTGGTACAGCTCAATATACTGATTGGTCCAACATCTTTCCTGGCTATTGGTTATTCTTACATCTTATGGCTGTTGTCACCATTGAGTTGCCCTAAATAAAAGATTCCTTCTTGCAGTTGATGGAAAAGAAAGGCTTAAGAAAGGACTAGCGATTCAGTATGCATTGCCTGTCTAGAAACCTGAGCTAAATTTGATCCATAATAACATGTCTTTCCTTAGACTAAGGTTTCAGTTTAACAACTACCCTCCCTATATCTCTATGGAGTCTTGGTGTGATGCTGTACAATAATCACTGGACTACCAACCACAAGGCTGGTGGTTCAAACCCACTAGTAGATCCTTAGGAACCCCATAAGGATTGCTATGAGTCAGAATTGACTTAACGACACTTAACAACAACAACTGTATCTCTAACTCATTTACTTTCAAAAAGTTGTCAGGTTATAGGAAATATATAGGAAAAAATAAGTACATAAAGAGTCAAGTGCAATTTAAATAAAATTTTAAATGGACAGATCCCAGAGATCATGGAATTAAAAGACAATGGAATTTTTCCACAAATTTTTTGAAGCTCCCTGGTATAACATATGTCATATATGTAATTGTAAACTTTCTAGTAGTCATATTGTAAAGTGTAAAAGAAACAGGTAAAGTAAACTTTAATACCATATATATCCATAATATTGTCATTTCATTGTGTTAATGAACATAAATTATGAATGACATAGTTGTTTTTATTTTACTTATTTCATTCTAAGACTTCAAAATTTGGCCAGCCACATTTCAAATGCTCTGTAGCCATATGTGCCTCAGGGCTGTCATTCTGAGCAGTATTGGTTTAAGTAATTTCTTTATTTTTACAACTGTGGAAGCTGTAGAAAGAGATGCTAAGAGACATGCCCAGAGTATTAGTATAGTCAGCGTCAGAGTAAGATCTAATCCCAATATCCTGTTGCCCAGTTCAGCGCTCTTTCAGCTCTGTCATAGAATAAACACAATGGTAGGTTTAGGTTTGTAGTTTCAGCAAGACTGGATCATTCCGTTATGATCATAAAAATCAACTTTGAATGAACACCTCCTATTTTCTAGACATTGGAATGGGCACTTTATTCATTACTACTTAAAACAATCTTGCAGGATTATTTTATCTCTATTTTTAGAAAATATCAAAGCTGAAAGATAATCAGTTGCTTAAGAGGTTATCGAGTTTACATTGGAAGTAAGTTGTCTCTGCATAGTATGGGCTGTTCATGCAGCCTAATGCCTTTCTTTTCAACACAAGGCACTCTCATGCTGTGAATCTAAGTGTGGTCCAAGGACTAGCAGCATCCATGTCACCTGGGATTATGTTAGAGGTGCAAATCCTGCACTGCACCCACTGCCATTGAGTCTATTCTGACTGACAGAGACTCGATAGCACACAACCTCTTTAAAGTGCTCAAGAGCAAAGATATCAGTTTGAAGACTACGGTGTGCCTGACCTAAGCCATATTATTTATTTATTTTTGTCATTCCATTTTTGCTTTTTTTTTTTCGTTTTTGTTGTGAATTGTGTGATAGTTTACATGGGAGAATATTAGCTTGCCATGTTTTTTTTTTTTAAGTTTTTATTGTGAATTGAATTGTTTACATGGGAGAACATTGGTTTTACACTCATCCCATCATATTTCATTTCATTGCCATGATTACAATCCTCTCCATACATCAGCATTCAATAGGATTTCTTTCTATTTCCTCTGTTGTTGTTGTTGTTTTTTTTTTTGGGGGGGGTATGCACAAAAATACTCAGGAATATATAGTCATTTAAACAGCCAAAGACATATTCTGCAAGCCTGCCTCCTGGCTACCAGCATACAGCCTTTCTCTTTCCATGAGTCTAGAGTCCTCAGATGTTCTATCTCTCCATATCGTGATCTCTGTCTCTACCTCTGGAGCTACTGCTTCTCTGGATATGGTCTCACATTCTGCTCATGCTCTTTTCCCTTGATGGTCCTAGGGTCCTCTGTTCCTGGAATGTAAGATTAACTACTTCCCCCGTTTCATTATAAAACTTCTATCTTTACAGTTGTGACAATTGCAATTAGTCATGATAACAATCACTCACTATTAAATCAAAAGAATCTTATCCCCATCTTTCACCAGACCCATCTAGACAAGATGAAAACTATTCAGTGGGAATTCTGCTTTCCCCTTGCCATATTATTTTTAATAGCCTCATATGCATGTGAAAGTTGGACAATGAAGAAATAAGACTGTAGAAGGATTGGTGCATTTGCATTATAGTGTTGGAGAAGAATATTGAAAGTACCATGGACTGACAGAATAAACAAATCTGTGTTGGAAGAAGGACAGCCAGAATGGTGTGACTTAGAAGCCAGGATGATGTGACTTCATTTCTCATACTTCAGGCATGTTATCAGGAGGGACTAGTCCCTGGAGTTGGATCTCATGCTTGGTAAAGTGGAGGGTCAGCAACAAAGAGGAAGATCCCTAGTGAGGTGGATTTGCATAGTGGCAGCTGCAATGGGACCAAGCATAACAATTGTGAGCATGGTGCAGATCTGGATAGTGCTTCGTTCTGCTGTGCATAGGAATCACTGTGAGTCAGAACCAACTTGATGGCATGTGGCTCTGTGAGTTAATGCACTGGACTGCAAGGTTGAAGTTCACCAGTTGTTTCTTGGCAATCCTATACAGGGTTGCAATGAGTCAGAAGTGACTCAACGGTACTTAACAACAACAACAATAACATGGGGTTTCTGAGGATTAAATCTTTATGAGATGATAGCCTCATCTTTCTCCTATAGAACAGCTGGTAGATTTGAACTATCAACCTTGTGGTTAACAGTCTAACACCTAACTCACTGCACCACCAAGATGCCTTAAATCCTGCCCCAGGCCTACTAATCAGAATCTGCATTTTATAAAGGTCCCAGATGACTCAGATGACATCTTAGGCAACTTAATAAAATATCAAATCTCTCTATGAATCAAATTAATTTCCCAGGAGAACAACAGCTTTGTACCCTGTCAGATGCATCTCAGAAAATAAAAATAAATAAAATAGTGGATTAATAAATAAAATAGTGGATTGAATTGAAACATGAGAAGAAACGTTAGCTTGAACTTTTAAGGAATGATAAACAAGAATAGAGTTTTTCATTAAAAAATGAATTCCTGGAACTCAAAGGTTGAAATTATAAAATGCCTCATCTGCTACTTCTACTAAGGAGCTCTGGTAGCGTAGTGGTTATGAACTGGGCTGCAAACCGCAGGGTCAGCGGTTTGAAACTACCAGGTATTCCACGGGTGAAGGATGAGGCTTTCTGCTCCCATAAAGATTTACAACCTCGGAACCCTGTACAGGGTCGCTGTGAGTTGGAACCGACTCCATGGCACATAACCACCACCGCTATTACTACTACAGTCTTTCTTGTTGTTAAATGCCATTGACTTGGTTCTCACTCATAGCGATCCTGTATAGGGTTTCTGAAGAGTAGCTGGTGGGTTTGAACTGCTGACTTTGCAGTTCAAACCAACCTTGCGGTCCAGTGCATTATCCTACAGTGCTGCACCAGCCACCTCTGTTCCTCTTACCTCACCAAATAGGGTGAGTGACAGGGAAACGTTAATTTATTTGTATGCCAGTGGTGGCACTGTAGGATAAGCATTGGACTGCTAACCACAAGGTCAACAGTTCAAATCCACCAGCCACTCCATGGGGTCAAGATGAGGCTTTCTGCACCCTTAAAGATTTACAATCTCAGAAACACTATATAGGGTCACTCTGAGTAGAAATTAACTTGATGGCAGCAGGTTTGTTTGTTTATGTGTCAACGTTACACAGAGAAACATGGTGTTAACTGTATTCTTGCCACACACAAAAAGCAATGAATCATCCTAATAAGATTGTCAAGATGTGGTAGCTCGTGGCAAGATTTGTAGCTCACCACGTCTGGCTCTAGAAAGCTCTGTCCATTTCTTGGAATTGGGCTCTAGCTGAGATTACCTTGGCATTCCTGAAAGTGGTTCATACCATTGAGTCAAAGGTTGATTGTGTCTTTATCCTGAGACATTTCAATCACATTTTCAGTATTTTCCTCATGTGCCCTATTGCCCTTGGTGCTTTTCATTCAGAATGAGGCAGTTAATTAAGTAGATGCCGAAATCACTCGAGATATTTAGGGTGGAGAGTGAGTAATGTGAGCAGCCCAGAGACTCTCCAAAAGGTTGGATCTGTGTGAACCCTGTTTAGTGAGGTGTACGTCCCTCTTTCTTATTTCTTAACTCAAAAGGGCATTGCCAGCTATTTTTGTCCTTTAGAAAACCACAGCAGGGTAACGTCTAATAGCAGGACTTCTAACCAATATTTCATTGTGTCCTACAGGGACCGCGCAAGCTGTGTGTTAAGGAGATGAATAGTGGCATGGCGAAAAAGCAGGCCTGGCTTATAAAGAACAAAATCAAGGCCTTTTATGCTGCCGTAGCAGCAGACTGTTTCAGAGATGGTGTCCGAAGTCTCCTTCAGGTATGGTTGGTATTGGGGGAGTGAGCACAAAGGCAACAGACAATTAGTACTCCACGTTAATGAAGCTCCCAAGTGCACAGATACAGTCAGGCAGCCTACATCCGAGATCAATGCAGTTAGTTAAGGAATTCATTTCCCATTCCTGGGGATAGGCAAAGCTAAGACAAAAGCAGAAAGGTTCTATTACAATGAACTATGAATGATACACTGCAAATGGAAAATGAGGTTGCCTTTGGCCACCAGCATATATTCGGTCCCCATACTTATTGAAATGCAAATTTGTTCTGATGGTTGACGACATTCAGGATCCTATTAAAACTTCAAACCATTTTTGCATCTCATGCTGCATATAGCATCGCTCAAGTCAGGCATTCTTTCCCTTTTTTCTTTTGCAAATAGTATGAGGGCAGCTGCTAGACTCAACTAAATAAATGCATGGTGATCTGGGCGTAAAATCTCCTTACGCTCCTAAATTATTTCCAGAATGTTGAATAAAATGTAATAAACTCGGGTTCAGCACTGAAGCCCACAGTTCTCCCACCTTCCCCCCTTTTTTTCCCTTTCTCCCTCACTTTCTTAACCTTTCTCGTGTTGTTGTTGTTGTTAAGTGCCGTCGAGCCGGTTCCGACCCATAGCGACCCTGAACAGGGTTTCCAAGGCTGTAAATCTTTACGGGAGCAGAAAGCCTCATCTTTCTCCCAGCGGAGCAGCTGGTAGTTTCGAACTGCTGAGCTTTCGGTTCGCAGTCCAATTTGTAACCACTACGCTACCAGAGCTCCTTTCTTGTGGAGCCCTGTAAACTGCAGGGTTAGCAGTTTGAATCTACCAGTGCTCTGCAGGAGAGAGATGAAACTTTCTGTTCCTGTAATGAAGGAGCTCTGGTAGTGTAGTGGTTACGAATCGGGCTGCTAACCTCAAGGTCAGCAGTTTGAAACTTCAGCGGTTCCGCGGGAGAACGACGAGGCGTTCTGCTCCCGTAAAGATTTACAGCCTCGGAAACCCTGTGCAGGGTCACTATGAGTCGGAACCGACTCCACGGTACTTAACAATAATAACAACAATGATTTGCAGCCTTGGAAACCCTATACAGGGTCGCTATGAGTCAGACCCAACTCCACAGCACACCACCATCACTACCTCCACTTGTTGTTAAGTGTCTTCGTGTTGGTTCCGATTCATAGCGATACTGTATAGGTTTTCCAAGGAGCAGCTGGTGAGTTTGAACCTCTAGCACATAAAATCTACCCCTATTTCTGATCTTCACAATTTAGAATGCCTGAGAATTCCTAAAACAATCCAAAAGATGCTCAGAAATTATAAGGCTTGGCTTTCTAATCATTTTGGCTTTAATATGGTTGAAACACTCCTATTCTAAGTGTACAAATGATGCAGTAAATTCTTGACTTTCAGAGTAGCCTGGTTCAGTACTGTAAGAATTCAGGACTGCGTTCAGGTAACTCTTATGCTTATTTAGGCAGAAAAATAAAATAAAATAATGATTAAACCATACTATTTTGGAGATTATGAGCATTTGATGCATCTCTGACTCGAATATCCCCAAAGAACAGTTGCAACATTGATGCACATGCAAAGAAGTCATTTCTGCAAAACCTAGTCTCTTGTTGGAGGCTCTTTTCATCTGTTATTAGTTTGTTGCACCATAGAAATAGATGTCATCGTAAAATGGTGATTTTTTTTCTCTCAGTAGTGAGTTTCTTTTCAGTATCGCTTTGGTTAAACATGTTGGGAAGGTAGGGAGCCCCTAGGGGGACAAAAAGTTAAGTATTTGGCTACTAACTCAAAGGGTGGGGATTTGAACCCACCCAGAAGTGCATTGGAAGAAAGGCCTGGTGATTGGCTTCTGAAAGGCCACAGATTTGGAAATTCTACAGAACAAGTTCTATTATGCACAAATGAGTTGACAACTACTTGATAGCAACTCACTTTTTCTTTTGTTTTTGTTTTTTAGTGAGCTATGATTCTTTTCAGTAGCTCAAATATTAGAAGATTTATACATTTAATATAAAAGTATCACAGAAGATTTGTAAAATAATAACATTTTCAGCTAGGCATCAGAAGACAGAGATGGTATAGGAGTAGAGTGAGAAAAGACATAGGTATGGAAACAAAGAGCAGCTAGTGGATTAGAACTGCCAACCTGATGGTTAGCAGTCGACAGCACCACACCAGGACTCCCCTATTGCCTGAGTACTTATATTATAGTCATTTGAGTATATCTTGTCTTCTCAATCTTACTTGATATTCCTAAAGGCTGAAGTGCACATCTCAGTCCTCTCCCAAACCACCTAACATAACACTATGTGATTAATATTGCCAAGTTAAATTTAATTAATTGGAAGCCATATCCTATCATCTAACGAGGGGAATGAAACTTCTCATATGGAAGATGGCTATTAACAATACTATCATTCAAGAGAATTAAGCTCTAGACGCATAACCCAGTTAGTCTTCAATAAATAATACAAGTAGAAATCTTGTATGTAAGACTTTTCCAAACATGGATTTTATTGCTAATGTCATTATGGATATAGCAGGTGACAATGAGTTTTGTACCACTATGTTTCAACACTCATACCAACAACTAAGCCAAACTTCACTTGATTTTAAATTATTGAACCATTTTAATGAGTGTGTCAGAAGAAATGCAAATGACTACTAATTTAGAAAAGCTACATTTCTGTCATCTAAAATCCATTTATGGCTGAGATGATTTAGAACTAATCTTCCTATTTTATGCTTGGGTACAGGCATGAAGGACATGCACTAAAATGTAATCTAATCTTCTGAATCTTCAGAACATTACTCCGGTGCTCTTTTGGACATTATTTTTCATTTGTGATGCTGTTTTCTGGGTCTGGTAAGGACTGCCCATGTTTTTATGTACTCTGTTTAGGCCTCTGGCTTGGGAAGAATGAAACCAAACACTCTGGTTATTGGATATAAAAAAAACTGGAGGAAGGCTTCCCTGGCAGAGATTGAGAACTACGTGGGAATCATACAGTAAGTGAAGGCTTTCAACGTATCTGCTTGTTTATAAAGCACTAACTAGGGGAGTGCCGTGGCTCTGTAGGATAGACACTGGCCTGTGAACCACATGGTCCGCAGTTTGAGCCCAGCTGCTCCTCAGGAGAAAGATGAGGTTTTCTGTTCCCACAGAAATTGACAGCCTCAGAAACCCTGTAAGAGGCTCTCTGAGTGTGGCACACAATAACAACCTCAAAAAGCATAATAAAATAGTATTCATCTTCTGAAATGATAAGCATTATTGACCAAAGACAAATTTCCTTAGCAGTACTCCTAACCTGGGGGACCTATGCGTTAAGCGATTCATCAGAATTGTGTTTACCAGAAGTGTAAGGCCTGCTCTCCACCCCTGGGCTGCTGCTGTCTGGCTCCTCTTGGTGCTCTCTGTGCACTAAGATAATGCTAAATCAAGTGGTCAGGGTTAGAATCTTGCAGGGTCAGCCAAAGTTGTTTGGTTACATTTAGAACCACAGTTAGTTCTTAGAAATAGATTACGTCTGCCTCCTGTGATCTAGATTCTTCCTCAATCTCACCTCTAGGAACAAAAGAAGTAGAAGAAAAAAAATAGTGATTTGGGGGGGAAAGTATGTAAATAGTCGATCATACCACCCGTTATTTGATACCCGTGATTTGATACCTTGTATCATCCTCATGGAAGGAGAGCTCTGGTAGCGTTAGTGGTTATGAATCGGGCTGCGAACCTTAAGGTCAGCGGTTCGAAACTACCAGCCGCTCCGCGGGAGAAAGATGAGGCTTTCTACTCCCGTAAAGATTTACACCCTAGGAAACCCTGTACAGGGTCGCTATGGGTCGGAACCGACTCGACGGCACTTAACAACATCATCCTCATGGAATGAGTCCTGGTGTGGCGCTGTGGGTTAATGCGCCAGACTGCAAAGCCATTTGAACTGCAAGGTTGGCGGTTCAAGCTCACCAGCTGCTCCTTAGAAACCCTATACAGGGTTGCTATGGGTCAGAACCAAGTCGATGGCACTTAACAACAACAACAACATCCTTGTAGAGTCCTGGTGTGGCTCTGTGGGATAATAAAGTAGACCTCAAGCTCAGTTTGAACCTCAAGGTCGGTGGTTCAAATTCACCAACAGCTCCTTGGAAACCCTATGCACAGTCACTTTGAGTCAGAACTGACTCTACAGCACTTAGCAACATCATTCTCGTATCAACAACATCATCCTCATATCATCCTGGTGTGGCACTGTAAGATCAGCACTGAACTGCTAACCACAAGCTCAGCAGTTCAAACCCACCAGCTGCTTCTCAGAAGCCCTAAACAGGGTCGCTATGAGTCGGAACCGACTCTGCAGTCCCTAACAACAACATCATCTTGCAACCTCCCCACCACCCCAAACATATTAGAAATTCAACAGGGCCAAAATAATCAAACCCAATCTTATTGAACTAAAGAGTACTTAATGTTTAAAACAAAATTATATATTCTTAAGGTTGTACTAGTCTAAAACCTAGCTGGCTTGGTAAATTTTAATGACTTTACTGTCTTAGACCGGGGGTTAGTAGAGAACCAACACAATCAGGCATGCCCATTGTATTTCCTTTCCCAGTTGTTTTGTTCTTTTACAACCAAAAGGAAAACACAGTATTTTCCTTTTTATCCCATGTTAATGTGGGATATTACTACAATTGTGGGATGTAATTACAATCGTGTAGTATTTATGATTTTTCATTGAATAGAGAAAGGGCTTTATTAAAGGTCTATACTATTTTAAATTGTAGTTTAATTTTTAATTTGCTTTGTTCTCCTGCTGCTTTTTAACTGCGGTCAAATATATATGAGGAGACTTCAGAAAGTTGGTGGAAAAATGGAACCCATAGATAATGGAATTCTTCCATGAACTTTTTGAAGCCCCCTCATATAATAATAATAATAATAATAATAATAATGCCATTTTAACCATGTAAAATGTACAATCCAGTGATACCAGTCACATTCATCATGTTGCCCAGCCATCATCACTAATGCCAAAAATTATTCAGCACCTCAAAGAGAGACTCAGTACCCCTTAAGCAAGAAAGTGTAGCTTAATTTTCATTTGAATCTGTATTAGTTTTACATAAACATATTAATGGTGAAGGCTACCTATATTCCTTGACCTATGGGCACTTGCCTCAATCTTGAAACATGACAATGATGGCTTGAGTCTTCACACTGCATCACTCTGGCCTCGTCTTTTTCTCCCAATTTCACGTGTAAGGACCCTTGTGACTGGTGGTATCACTACGGTTGGTCAGCTTAGCAATTCATGCTCCTCAGGGACCTTCTCCCATACCAGACCATGCAAAATCCTAAGTAATGATTATTATCCATTTTAACCTTAGAATAATATATGATTAATATAGTTATAAAAATTGCTTAAATAGAAGGCCTGGTGTGGCACTGGAAGGAGGTAAGGCCCTTTCTCCTAAACTGTGCACCAACAGAGAAAGCTTTTCCCTAGAGCTAGTGCCTCAAATGCAGACTTCTAGCCTCCTAAACCACAAGAAAACCCACTTCTGTTTGTACAAGCTATCCATTTGTGGTATTGCTTTTTCTAGCAGCGTTAGAGAACTAAGACAGCAAGTTTCAGGTCTCTTCGATTTTTGTCTTATCTTTCTTTCCTGTCTTTTTAATGACCTTTTGTTTTCTGCACATATGGTGTCTTTGATACCATTCCACACTCATCTGGTCTTTGATCATTAGTGTTCAAAGTGTCAGATCTATTTTTGAGATGGTCTCTAAATTCAGGTGGGATAGACTTAAGGTTATATGCTTTGACTCTAGTGAACTTGTTTTAATTTTCTTCAGCTTCAAATTAAGCTGGCAGATGGGCATGTGAGGATCTGTTCTACAGTCATCCACTGCCTTTGTTCTAACTAGATGATATTAAGCTTTTCCATCGTCTCTTCCCACAGATGTGGTCGACTTAATTCCTATACATTCCATCCAGTAAAGTCCATGTGTATAATTGCTGTTTATATAATTTTGCACAATTCTATCATGTAATCTCTGGCATCTGTCTTTATTTCCAGCTTTTACATTCAAATCCAGTAATTACTAATGTATCCTGATCGCATGTTTGATAAATTTCGCACTACAAAATTTGGTAAAAACCTTCAATTTCTTCATCTTTCATACTAGTGGTTGGTGAATACATTCGAATAGTAGTCATAGTAGGTGATCTTCTTTGTAGGTTTATGGATATTATCCTTTCACTGACAGCATTGTATTAAATTGCAGATCTTGAAATATTCTTTTTCTTTTGAAGGTTTACAGTGCAGATCATTAATTTTACCTTCAACAAATCACATACTTTATCTCATTACAATGACGGCAATCCCCTCCATGTATAATCAGTTAACAGTATTTACCTCTATTCACTTTAACTCTTGTATTCCTCCTTGTGTCTTCTGCTACTTTCATCATTTCTCTGCCAACCTCCTCTTGTTTGTTGCTTGCCCTGTCATCCATGTTCACTTGTGTCTACTCTTTAGCCAATGAATAATTTCCCCTTTCCTCCCACCCTAGGTTTGTTGTTCTTGTTGTTGTTAAGTGCCATCAAGTCAGTTCCAACTCATAGTAACTACGTATAGAGTTTCTAAGGAGCAGCTAGCAGGCTTAAACCACCAACCTTGTGGTTATCAGTCCAATGCTGATCTTAGAACATCACACTAGGCCTCCCCCAACCCTGTTAATCTTCATGAATTCTTTCTTTTTATCAAAAAAATATTTTCTTAACTTTTTACAATAGTGGTCTCATACAATATTGAAATGTTCTTTTTTTCTCTCTTTCTTGTTTTTTTTCAAGGTTTTTATTGTGGATTGAGTGAAAGTTTACAGGGTAGATCATCAGTTTTACATTCAACAAATCATACATCTTGTTTCATTACAATGATTATAATCCCCTGCATGTGCCATCCGTTAACAGTGTTTCGCTCTATTCACTTTAGCCCTTAAAACAAAACAAAACAAAACACTCAGACATATATAATGATTTACACATCCAAAGGGCACATTCTGCAAGTCTGCCTCCTGGTCACCAGCTCTTAGTCCCTCTCTTCCTATGAATCTAGCGTCCTTAGCAGCTCTCCCTCTCCATGACCCCATCTCTGCCTCCATCTCTGGCATCGCTGCTCCTCTGGATAAGGTCCCACATTCTGCTTGTGCTCTTCTCCCTTGATGATCCTAGGGTCCTCTGTTTCTGGACTGTGAGATTAACCACTCCCCTGTTTTTGTTACAAAACTTCTACCTTTACAATTGTGACGGTCGCAATTATTCATGATACCAAGTACTCAGTATTAAATCATAAGAATCTTATCCCCATCTCTTTTCACCAGACCCATCTAGACAAGATGAAAACTATTCAGTGGGGACTCTTTCTTCCCCCACACACTCTTAAACTAAACTCCCTCTTGAAACTTTGTAAGCCAGTCACTTTGTGCCTTTATCACTCCCTCATTTTAGGTAGCCAATGTCTAAGTTGCCCGTTCCTCTCTACCCTGTATACAGAGGGGATAGCGTTGATACCTGATGTGAAGATTCCTTCCCTCCCTGTTGGTATTTAGAGATACCACCTCCATGAGGATAGGTCAGGTTCATCAAATTGTAGCAATTTACTCTTGTTTCCTTTATAAAATTTTTTTTTAAATTTTCCTCTAATCAAGTTCTGATTAGCAAGCAATTGAGGCTAGGTCAAATGGGTACTTTCTGCAAGTTTGGGTGTTCTTGTGCCTCTCCCCTCACTTTGTATCAGCTGGATACTTCACTCTCAGCTCTAGCCCTCTATGGCTATGTCCTTGTCCATGGGCTCAGGTGAACCCAGGTCTCAACACACTTTGGACCGATCAGCCTTTCCTATTCTCTCTCTCATCTCCAGGTCAGCAGGAATCAATGGACTGCAGTGGAACTCAGCCCATTTCTTCATTGCTGCCTTTCCCCCTCTTCAGCTCACTAGTAGACCAA